ACAACATAACATCAATGACACGACAAGGGCTGAAGGGAAGAGAGGGCTTAAATACATGACTAACAATGACAACGATTGGAGACAGGTGAATGAACAGCTGAACATAATGAACTAATGATAAATGGGAAGAGGACTGAACATAATGCACACAGACCAAGGCTAACACAATAAAACAGGAAGTGGAACAGGCAGTAGATAAACAGTGAACGTGAACTGAAAATACTGGGTCAACGACCCAGAAACCCTGACACTATCAGAGCCGTTTACTTGTTGAGAACGTGGTATACTGAGTGTTAAAGTTTATATGACACACAGACGTGATTATCCTTTTATCAGGCTAAATGTTCTCGTTCTCGTTCGCTGTCCGTGCCCAGTGCGCGCTCCCGACGCACGGGAAACAAATTCTGCCGGGGGAATAACTACCTTGGCACACCTGCCTGGAGTCTGCGTGCGTTTACAGCAAGGACCGCGATCCCTGTTCACATTCTTCTATCCGTCTGGAACAGGAGGTAAAAGCGGAAACGTTAAAGAGCTTAATGAATTTAATGTAAACTTTTGCCTGTAAGATTAGTGAAATGTACGCATTATTCATAAAAGAACCACTGCAAATGTGTTAAAGGATTCCTGGTGGAGTGGGAGAAACATTGTGTGCTCATCCTTATGCTAGTCTGTCTGGAAATAAAACTTATGACATCGTTACGTCAACTCTATTTTTTTTTCTATTCAGGCCAAAGTAGCAACATACATTTAGATTTGGTTCTTTCAAGAAACAAACGCCTGAAGGGAATTAAGAACTGAAAATAATAATAGTTTTTAATATGCCATCGGGGTAGTTTTGACTGAATGAAGACGTCTATACAGTGGTGGAAAGTAACAAAAATTTCATTACTGTGGCTACTTAAGTAGAATTTTCAGGTATTCCTACTCTAATTGAGTAGTCTTTTTTTCTGATAGACTTTTAATTTGACTCCCTACATTTTTAAACAAATATCTCGACTCTCTGCTGCTTCCATTTTCAAATAAGGCTCCTTAGTTTTGGTTTAAGGCGTGTCTGAGGGGAGTTATTATTTCTGTCACTGGGCCTTCAAACACCAAATAGTCTCACAGTGTGTTGTGAGCTAGAGGTCCAGATGCTGTATTTACAGGGAGAGAAAAGCTAAATTAGGTTACTTGTTTGTTGATGTTGGTTTGATCCTTTTTATTATGATGATGCAGGAACAACAGCCTGCTTTAGCCTTGGAAGATGTAACTAGGTTGCTAGGCAGATTTTGCCAGCTAGCTACTCCTTTTCTTACTTTTGTGTGTGATCCAAGAGGTTGTGTTTTCGTTTGTTTGCTGTGTTTTTGCACATCTG